ATTAAAGAACAGCAAAAGTCACATAAGGTGACTGAACATCTTTTTTCTTGACCTTACATTGTTAAGTAAGCTGTAAAGTATATTGAATAGAAGTATTTTTATATTAATTTAAACCTAAACAGAAACTCAAAATAACAGAGACAAAAATCTATTTATTGATAAGATGTCATGAGTTAAACAGGGCATGAGACCAAAGATAATCAACTTCAGTACATGTTATGATTATGTGAAGATAGGAAAGGTCTCTATTTAATTCTCTTAACATTATCTTTGTACCTACAGAAGCAAATCTTTTCTTTCATTTAACAGAAGATATTTTTAAATGAAATAATGTTTCACACTTTACTATTAAAAATTTACATTGTATTTCATTAAAAGCTACCTGGCTGCCACATAAGGCTAATGACTAGCACATGGTCTAGGGTCCCCAATGAGTAGGACAAGTTTATTGGCACCTTTATAATAATGATCTTCCACAGCCTTCAGTAAATGCTCATATTCTACCATAAAATGTGTACTGGTCTCTCCCCGGGGTCAACTAGCCAAACAGATCACAAGAATCCAAACTAGCTGGGCTCGGTGGCTCAGCCTGTAATCCTGTGCCTTTGGGAGGCTGAGGTGAGTGGACTGCCCAAGCCCGCGCGTTCGAGACCCGCCCGGACAGGCAAGACCTCATCTCTACAATAAAATCAAAAAATTAGCTGGGCGTGGTAGCGCGCCTGTAATTCCGGCTACTCGGAAGGTTGAGGTGGAAGGATCACCAGAGCCTAGCAGGTCGAGGCTGCAGTGGCCAGGAGCGGCCACTGCACTCCAGTCTGGGCGACGGAGTGAGGTTCCAACTCAAAAAAAAAAAAAAGAATCCAAACTAATGAACAAACAAGTTCAGACAGGAAATCAAAACCAATGAACCAAGACACGCAGATCATTTCACTAACTCTTATACTCATTTAAAAACAAAACTCAGTTATTAAAAAAAAATTTTTTTTTTGAGTTGGAGTCTCACTGTGTCACCCAGACTGGAGTGCAGTGGCCGCT